ATTATTCATTCATTCATTATTGATTGATTATTACAATTATTAAGTCAATATTTCCCTACATTGAGTCAATGTTTGCCCACGTTGACATTTGCCAATGAACATTTCGAATGTAATCTTGATTAAGTTTATGTTTTCAGCTGTTAGTAGATTCTCAAAATCAATATGTGTCACCAAAACAAGTAGTATAATTGGGTGCTAAGAAAAATGTTGGTCTCCTTTTCTTCGTAATATTTGTTTTCTGCAAATAGACTTTTTTACCGATACGGCGGCCATATTGAATTTATTCGATCTCAGGAGTATTATAGGATGCCCAGGGGGCACGAGCACATTTTGTTTGTATTTTCGAGCGCTTTTCGGGACATTTTTTCGTAAAGTTTTCTTAGAATAAGATTGTAATGGGAAAAAAAGATCCTTGTGCCGTGTTTGGATGTAATAATGATCGCCTTTTCCCCGAGAAATATACAGTGAAAGACCATATTTCTAATACTAAACTAGAAAAAGACGATCATTATTACATCCAAACACGGCACAAGGATCTTTTTTCCCATTACAATCTTATTCTAAGAAAACTTTACGAAAAAATGTCCCGAAAAGCGCCCGAAAATACAAACGAAATGTGCTCATGGCCCCTGGGCATCCTATAATACTCCTTAAATCGAATTAATTCAATATGGCCGTCGTATCGGTAAAAAGGTCTATTGGTCATGGTTCGCTATCATTCACTATCACATAAAGTTATGACATTATGATGCGGTCAGGTATTGCCCCCACAGAATAAAATAGCATGGGAATAGAATGTTCACATTTAAAAGAGCTGTGTCACGAAATTCAGCCAAATTAGGAAATTACAAAATGCCCGTTAAATTAACAGAAGCATAAAAATAACCGCTTCAAACTTTAAAGGAAGGTTAAAATAACATAACAAAAACAACAGATGCCACGGATGGGCAAAACTGAAGAAGATTGAAACGGATTGAAATTAGGGTTTTTGAATACTGTTCAGCCTAACAGTTTTTCAAAGTTGATCCCTGCTGCTTGCAACTTCAAAAATAATGCTCAGGAGGCATATTTGGTTGCCTCGGATCTCTGATTTTGTCACTTATATATAATTTCTTTGCTTACTTTAAGTTCCATAGCGATTGAGGGCGAATAATTGGCAAAATTAAACAAAATGAACTGGACTGCCGTGACACAGCCTATTTAAAAGAATAGTCTTTACTTATGATAAGAATTTTGTTCAAGCAGTAAAGTATAGAGGTGCAGAAGCGAAAAAAAAAAAAAAGAAGAAAAAAGTAACAAGAAAAATATACGCTCTTCGTAATATCTGTTCTCTGCAAATTAGTTACTATTCGCTATCATTTCCTCTGGGCACATTATGTGGTCTGCTCACACCAAAGAATACTTTAAGGGCAATGAAATAATGTGTATAGCATGATGTCGTCATATTAATGTTTTTCATCTATAAAAGCCTAAGCCGTTAAAATGAGTGTCAAAAATCAAGAAATCAAAATGAATTTATAAGAAGTTTTAACGTTTCTGAGAGCGAATGCCGAATTCTTTCAATAACCATCAAACGCTGGATTAAACAGAAGACTTAATTTTGAATTGACATGCTTGTCAAATATACCTTTGTTTTTGCCATGGAAACATCGCCTGTCGTTGACAAAGTTCTTCAACTGGGTTTCAAAAGCCAAACCTCTTCTAGAAGCTAGAGAATTCACAGTTTGGAAATTTAACTCTACCAGCGAAACAGATAACCCAGATCGTCACTCTTGCTTCCTGTCCTAAATTCAATAAAAAATATCGCATCCCAGAAGGTAAGTTTCCTCTTAGATGCCAGCTTAAAAGAATCAACTTGTTACCTTTTGGTTATTAATGTTCAAGAGAAAGAAGATTTTTCTTTGCTTCGCAGTGTTGACTGCGGGAAAGAAAGTAATATGTAATTCCCACGCAACATGGCTTAAAACTCAGAAGAGGTTAAGGTTACACAAGAATTACACATTCAAGAACCGCATTTGCTGTCATTGCTTAACTTCTACATTGTTTTTTTTCTCAATAACAGTAAAATAAGACAGCGTTGCAAAAGGAAAAGACGTCGAAATGACAAAAAGTTAATATTCTTGTCAATATTTTGAGCACCAAATGGTGGCATGGAGCAGAAACTTTTCATAATTTACTCTTCTTTCGCCCTATATGATAAGATGATAAGGCTATGATCAGATTTGGAGGACATAAAAAAAATAGATTATTCGGTCGCTAGTAGTTTTAATTTCCTCATAGGAGCGACATAGTAGTCTGCTGGCTATTAGCTTCCGAGCCAGGTGTTTTTTCCTGTATAAATAGTCCTAGAGACCTGTCTTAATTGAAGGCGGAGCGGAACTCAAAATTAAGCTATTAAGCTATTATACACGTTCGTTAAAAATCCTAGAAGTTGACCTTTAAATAACTGGTGTCTATTTACCCGGAATTCTATCACAAGTTGTGCCTTCCCGGCGTAGTATAAACAAGTATAGAAAATTAGGCTTTGATGCCATTCGATTACTTGTAAAAATATTGCTTTGAATTCCCGTCAGTCGACGACAGTTTGCTTTCACTTGGCAAATAAGGGCGTAAATTATTAGCATAAACTGAGCACATTTATTTTTCTGAGCGTTAATTGAACCAAAATTAAAACAGTTTATCTTTTGTAATAGTCCACATTCCACCTTACCTTTGAAATTATTCAAGTAAGAGACATTTTTTTCTTTTCTCCTGATCATTTCTTTTTCATGAAGCGTCTCGACAAATCTCAAAGAAAACTTGTTCAGTTATTGCTACAATCAGCTCGCGTGGGAGCATTATAACAACATATGGCATAGTTCCGTAACAATCACGGCGCGAAAGTTGATTAAAAATTTGCAGCAGAAGAATATCAAAAGATACATATTTCAGGGTTAAAAAGACTTTTACTCAGTCAAGCATTTCTATCATATTTCAGAATGTTTTCTCCATCCAGACCCGAGTGCTTCACCTGGCTTAGTCTACTGATAACAGAAAGCATCATTATAGTAACTTTCAATGTCGTTACTATAATCATCTTTACGAGAAACCGCAGTCTACGCACACGTGGTATGTACATGGTGATAAACTTAGCCGTTGCAGATGCAATGTCGGGGGGATTTTCTGAGTGCATGCTTTTTGTCTACCTTGGAGGACGGTGTGACTTTTGGAAGTACAACCTGACTGGGAACTGGAGAAAACTATCAGTGGCCATTGAACTGTTATTTCCCGTTTCTTCTGTCACAGCCATAGTTGCGATTTCTTTACAACAGCTGCACGCCATATTCCGTCCGTTTCAACATCGCGTGATCAAGAAATGGGTATACCGTTTAGCAATTGCGATTGTGTGGATTGCAGCGGCATTGATATCGACATTGCAACATCTCAAAATTAATCATCTGACCGTTTGGATCTCTTTCACTTCCATTTGCCTCTTCACTATTTGCGTCTCTTACACTATGACGGCTTTGAAACTTTATCGTGGAAGGAACATTCAGCACCATGGTGCATCTATCAGGGATAGAAAACTGACCGTGACATTGGTCATTGTGACACTGGTATCTTTATTGATGTGGCTACCGTATATTATATGCTCTTTTCTTTTGATCACTTCTGACAACTTTCGCTCCCTGCCTGATCAATTACTCTTTCGTCTTAATTTTTCATTAATGGTACTGTACCACGCAAACTCTCTTGTAAGTCCCATTTTGTACGCGATTCGAATGCCAGAGTTCAAACGAGCATTGATTTCACTATTGCGATGTCAGGGAAACCAAGTTGCTGTAGCAGTTCTTTTTGCCCGAGGAAATAGGATGACCTTCGCAAGGAGTCGCTCTCGTCGATCACAGAAGTGCAAAGAATCCAAACACAGCGTTGTAAACCAAAGTACAGTTGTGACGCAATTAACGTAACGTAATTGCTACCAAGAACCATCAAGGATTGGCCTCCATGCAGGGAAGTCGCGAGAAGGTACGCGTGAGCAGCACGCGCGAAGGGAGACACGGGAGCGAGGTGAGGGGAGAGAAAGGGAAATTTGATAAATTTTCAATTCCATCTCGGAAACCGCAAAGCGTGGAAACTGTCACCGGCAAAAAGAAATGTGTCAGACAACTGAAAGTTACTCTATCTATCTCTCTCTCTCAGGGAAACATAACCCGAGTACAGTCAAAACCGGTTAATACGGACGTTAATGGGGGCATAGAAAGTGTTTGTATTAACGGGTTGTCCGTATAAAGCGGGTTGAATAAGTGTTCATTTTTTGGACAGTTGGCATCAGTGGGGTCCTGAATGAACAGTCGGCATCACTCATTTCTTAAGTAGTACAGATTGATTCTTATGCATTGCATAATTGACTCTTATGTAGTACATAACTGATTCTTATGTAGTACATAATTGAAAAGCACACTCCCTGTACTGTAGGTAAGAGTAGCGCAGTTAATCTTGTGCACAGGGATTCAAATCAGAGAATAGCAAGTAACGTACTGAGACTAGCAAACAGTTACCTGTAATACCCTATAAATAAATTTATTTGTAAGCTACGATAAAAATATAATTCTTTCTTTTCTTCTTCTTTTTCTTTTTATCTTAATAAACCTAATTAAAAGACATCATTGAAATGGTGCAATTTGTATGGGTAATAACACGATTTGTAGTGATATTTGGCATAAATACCACAAGTGATGTTTCAAAATTGTTACATGTACAGGCGAGTGAAATTTGAGACAATTTTGAAATATCACGAGTTGCATTTACGCCAAATATCACGTACAAATCATGCTATTATTTGTTTATACTTCTACCCGCAAAAGGTTTGTAATTTTCACATGTAGGTATTTCAAATTGAGCTGAAATACCACCGCTCTAAGCCAACCAAATTGCAGAAATTTCTCATGTAGTATAATAATGAACGATAATACGATGAAGCAATCAAAAGGGACTGCCATGGTTGTCATTGCATTAATTTCATTCCGTATTTATCGTTGAAGCTACTTTGAATGAGCGGACGTTTGCTATAATACTGGGCCTTCAGGAACAGCAAAGAACAAGACGCTAGGGTTGTCTTTTAGTTTGATTAGTGGGTAACCGCTCCTTCGTGAGCACTGGAAACTACTTTTGTATACTTATGAAGTAATCCTACGAGTTTCCGTGGAGGTGGCTGCCATTGTTTCCTTCGCTCACTCAACACTTCATCAGAGAGTTCCTGAAGAGCAAAATTTTAATTTTAAATTTTAGTTTTAACGGAAGATGTTTTATGACAATATGGATAAATAAATAAATTAATTAATTAATTAATTAACTATATCAATAGGCCGCGTAAAGAGGATGGCTTTTTTTTGGGAAAATACACTACAACTGTATTACGAATACGACCGGAATTACGAAACAAAGCCATTTCACATGTCACAAGTGTGGAGAAAGGAAAAAAAAATCACATGTTTGCTGTTCTCAATTTCATACCAAAAGTAAATTTTTCTAATGTTTAAATGATAATCGTAAATCAAAAACGTTTTTCCTACCGATTGAGGAGGTTAGACATACCATGCGTTTTTTTTTAATGACCCTGATAGCAACGTGTGTCATATAATGTAAATTTAATATAATGTACATGAATTGCAATGCATTAAGAAGACACGAACTGTTGTCCTTTCATAAGCCACATGCTGTAACATCTTATGACATGACACAAAATTACATTACTTGACAAGACATAACTTCACGTGACAGACATGACATAACATGACATGACAAGACAGTACATGTTAGCGGACTCGCAACCTTGCTGTGCGTCTTAGAAGGCTCTGCAAGTATGTTATGGTAATAATAGGCATACATGTAACAGCTTCACTTTTTAAGAATCATTTTGACGTACCACCTCAAGGGTTGCACTTTGCGGATCAATGACAATTATATCTCCATTCTGTATAAGCGCTATTGGACCGCCTACTTGTGCTTCAGGTGACACGTGACCAATCATAATGCCATGGCTGGCTCCGCTGAACCGTCCATCAGTAACTAAAGCCACTTTCTTCCCCAGTCCTGCGCCTACTAGAGCTCCACCGGGTGAAAGCATCTCAGGCATGCCCGGGCTAAAGACAAAAGACAAGAAAGCAGAGAAAAGACTCGGTTAAAGTGAAGTGAGAAAATTGCTGCGAAAAAGTAGATAGAAAAGAATTCAAAGACAACTAGAACGTTGGTCAAGTTTGGTCTCCCCATACAAGTACTAAAAAAAAAAAAAAAAAAAAAAAAAAAAAAAAAAAAAAATCATAGCCCTCGAGCGTGCCTCAAGGCGTGCTACCAAATTTATCTTGAAGTGGGATCTAACTTATCCTCTTGAGTTAAGAAGGAACTTTTTGGATTTATATTTCGTTTTTAAATACCTTACAGGCACATTGACTTTTTTAAGTGTATGGCAGCTTTATTTCATTTTTATAGGTTTCTGATCATTTAGAGTTAACGTGGTGTGAATATATATACCTCTTAATCACTTTTCGATTTATAGTATTATGAATTCTTTATATTTCATTCCAGGCAGTTGGCTATTAACAAGGAATTTCCGTTTTCTGTTTAAACGGACACATTACCCAGATATCACCGTTTATTCTTTCACTTTTTTCTACAATTTATTTTGATGATCTGTGTATTTGAATTGAGGAAATAAATACTAATTAAGCAATGATTATAAAGCAAAACCGAGTACCGACCTTCCCTTTGGTCCTTCATATCGAATGACGAGAACATCTCCAGCTTTTATCTGATGATAAATTAATATCATGCTTAAGAAAGAGTTATTCAATAGAACACAAGACTACATTGTAAATAATAATAATAATAATAATAATAATAATAATAATAATAATAATGATGATGATGATGATGATGATGATGATGAAATAAACTAGTAATAACCAAAAGTTAGGGAGTGCAACAATGATCGAAGGTCAAAATTGTTTTGCTCCGTTGCCATGCTTCGCGTAGGTTTTAGATGACAGATAGTCAAAACGCGCGTGATCTCTCCGTGCATTCCACTCTTTCTTAGTGGAAGTCCAAACAAATGCTGGCTACATACATGCGACGCATGCGTAATTACAACATAGACATTAGGACTGCGGGCGACAAGAGGAGCCCGCAATAAATAAAATAAAAATAATAAAAAATACTGATAATGTTTGGAGATTAGGAGTGCGGGTTCCTCCTGTCGCCAGCAATAAATAAAATAAAAATAATAACACGTAATTATGTTTATCCCGTTTCGGTGAGTCAAAAACAGTTCTATTTTTTTGTGGGGGTCCAGTTTGGCTCCCTTATAATCAGGGCCAAGACGGTCCAATTACCTACTGCTACCTTGCACCCACGGGTTGAAATGATTTCCAGCGTGGGCTGAAATAGGCCTTTGATGGGCTGTTTTGGTTTAAATTGTGCTGTAACGGTTCCAGGAGAGGCTGAAACTGACTTTTTGAATTTACAGTGTACCAGTTCTCAACACTACCTTCGGTGCGCTGGTTAGTGAGGTTTTTGAAGTATATAAGAGAAATGTGCGAATGAAACAATGTAAACTTTCAACCATTAAAAGTATTTTTGTCTCATGTTTTCATGGACAGCTCTTACGGTTGGTCAAAAGCTAAACCCACTGGTGGGAGATGCTTTAACCTAATTTTAAGTTTTTATCCCACAAGATGGCTAACGATTCAAATTTAAGAAACACAACAACAACAGGAGCAGAAAATACAGAAAACCCAAACATTCAAAAACATATCTCTTGAAACGAGGTTTTGGTTAAGGATAATGTAAATAGGGATGGACAAAAGTAACTTGCCTTTCTATTCATAATAGCCTGAAAAGCCTCCTCCTCTCCATCGAACACCGCTGCCTGCAAAGCATTGCAAATACTATAATGGCGTAGTCACCAGTGTGTTCACACGGGCTGACCATCCGAACTGTTCGAAGCATTTTTTGCGTCATCCGCGAGACTGACACTCAGTTTCAAGCGACTCAAAAATGCACAAAAACGTGGAAGACGACACTAAAAACACATGCTAAACTATCTTTAATTATTCAACTTTCTTATCTTACATTAACTTTTGGGATCAAAAGGTGCAAACATTTGTGTTTTATGAAGCATTTCTCTCGATCACTTGAATTACACCGACAGCGGGCGTTACGAAATCGCAATACAGCAACTGCATGTCGCGCGTGACATCAAAAATGCCTTGAACAGTTCGAACGGTCCGCTTGTGGTGTTCAAAAGGAAAACAAACCAGCTGACCTGTACCTATGTAAAGGCCTAAAAATTGATAGGGCCTTTCATTTTTCTTAATAAAAGACCGACCATGGTACCATTTTAGTCATACAATACAGAAACCTTTGGGACATACACCGTATTGATTTTGGATTCCTTTCATTGCTATGCAAATCTCACTGCGACTCTAAAGTAATGACATCGTCCCATTTCTCAGGATTATAGCTTGAAATGTAAACGGGAATTAACAACACTAACTTACCGGGCCACGGAATGGCCCTGCGATATCCTTGCCGCTAAGCTTGAGTACGGCGCTCTCCAGGGCCAAGTTTCCCTTTCAGGAAGATAAAGGAATAAATAAACGCGATTGAAAAGAAAACTTTATCTCAGCACCTAACTACAGAGCGGGCAGGAGTGGGTTTGATCCCCAGTGTCGGACTGATATTCAGGGTCTTTTAAAATAAACGTCAACATTGTGGTCGCTTAAGGCAGGAAACGCGGGAATTAATTATCTCAAGCGTGAGAGGCGAGCAATGTGTGCCAGGAGAGAATTCAAGAGGGCAAATCTCCCTTCTTCTCCCTACTCACATTTTCCCTTAGCGTTATTTTTCTTTGAGCCTAGCACGCTTGAATCAATCGATTTCAAGAAGGCTTTATCCACTTTAACAAAGCATGTACGGTTAATACTCTGTCAAGTGACCGCTCTTGGGAAAGCGAAAGCGGCCGTTTAATTGAGGTCTTCTATCAGGAGCCCATGAGGGGCTCCTGCCTCTATCCGGTAATTTATTGACAATTATCTTTGCTGGGTCCGTGGCTGTTGGACGTTGATTAGAGGGTGGCCACTCTATGGATATTCACCTTCAGTATCAGGATATGTCTGCCAGCAGGGGCCAGTGGAGATGACACTGGGGAAATGATATCCTGCGACATAATCAGAGCATCGAAAGTATTAACTAAAAAGTGAGAAACAGGAATCAACAGTATATATGATCAACTGTGACAAGAGTGTACGGCTATGTCCATTTAATCCAAAAAAGCGAGCGAACTAAGTGTTCCTTTAATACTCCTTTAAGGAACCTCTGAATTAAAGAAGACCTGTGGGAGCTTAGCAACAATTTGAAAGGAGAGGGGTTAAGAAAGGTCAAATTTGGAAGTTGAGTGCTGTAATTAGTTTTTAGTGGCTTCGGTTTTTCCAGGCGCAACCAACCAGATAATCCCGAATCTCGTCCCGATTTTGCTTTAAAATCTCGAATCCCGAGTTTCAGACAAGGAAAATCCCGGATCCCGAAAAATCTTTTGGGGACCCTTTTGAATTACCTGCGCTCCCAACTCAGAAATTCCTGGGACATCCTTCAGATTCTCAGCCACGGTTTTTCCGTTAACTGTCATTTGCTCTCCGTGAAGAAAGCCATTGTAAAGAAGCTCTTTCAAAACAATCTGTCAAAAATGAACAAATAATAGTGTAATTACACTGTTCACAGTCTCCAAGACATACTACAAGTCGACCTCTCATGAGTTCTTGAAAGCGAGCTTCAATGCATCAGGTCAGCGAGCGACGAAGTCTCGAGGTCGACTTGTTTTGCCTGAATGGATTTGAATCATATTATACATTCACGCGGGAAAAAAACATGATTGACATATGCTGTGTCGGGAGCGGCGTGGAATATCACTCACTGTCCTATTGGTCAATAGCCCACTTGCACTAAGAGGTCACGCGACCAACGCTTCCTTTAAACAGTGAGTTGGAATCTTGCTAATGCCAAAAATTGACAGAGCCCATTAACATTATCTTACACCAGAAATTTGAGAGGAAACGCATCTAAGGGAGATATTTTATGGCACTTTGATTTTTCAACAAAGTAGTATGATTTGTATTGGCCGCCATGTTGGAGGGCATACTCTTGCCCTCCAACAAGGCACATCATCTTTCCAACATTTTCCTTGAAGTTTAAGTTAAAAACTTGCATCAGAAGGAGGTAGTTCATAATTTTATAAATCACATTTTGGCTACGTGACCAGCTACGAACTTACTCATTTTAAGAAAATGGTGCAGGTTTGAAAAACCAAATCACTGTTATTTTGTTTAAGATATGAACCACTAATCGTTTTCCGAAGGCAAAATGATATAACGTTCATTTTCAAAAAAAAAAAAAACAATGTCCGTCAGATGACCTCTCCGTGTAAATCGCCTAATGACATCTTCGGCAGAGTTTTCGACCGGTTAAATTTGTGCCAAAAAGTTATGAAAAGTTCTTTAAAATGGCACAAGCAACCAGGAAAATAAAATAAAGGACTTTTAGAAAGTCTAACAGTCCCCATTTTTTCCGTTAATACCGTGGGGATCGACCAAAAGTGACCAGCTTCCCTAACATGCTTGGGCATTCTTGGCTTAAAACGTACCGTCTCTAGCCTGGGGGATGAGTATCAAACCAGCTCAGGGGTAGCGTTCCTCGCAGCCGTTTTAATCTCGTCACGTAACGCTGTTGGACAGGAGAGTTGCGTGACAAGACAAAAACGGCTGCGAGGGAGACTAACTCAGGGAACCCTCTCGGTTTATTTGAAACCAAGATGGCCGCCCGTAACGTTAAGCGCTCGATCTCGACGATCTTACACTATCTTACCGAAACATAGAGGTCTTTGAACAGTCTATACTGTAACGGAAGTAGGCTTTTTGTCTCAGTTGATGAGAGAAGATAGTATTTTTGTCTTTATTAGTACGGGGAAAAAAAGGAATTCTCTGGTACATTGAATATCACTCACTGTCATATTAGTCAATAGGCCACTTGCACTAAGAGGTCACGTGACCAACGCTTCCTTTAAACAGTGAGTTGGAATCTTGCTTATGCCAAAAATTGACAGAGCCCATTAACATTATCTGAGAGAGAAGATAGTATGTTTGTCTTTATTAGTACGGGAAAAAAAAGGAATTCTCTGGTAAATTAAGATTCCACTTACTGGAAGACCTCCAATCTTGTCCAAGTCAGCCATCTGGTACTAAAAAACGAAAATAGAAACAAAAGCAATTGTAAAACACGTATTGAGATCCAAGAAAAAAAGAAAGGAAAGGATGTATCAGTATCAGGGGCACCCAACGGCAATTTTCGGGAAAATATCTGTTCGGAAGACGATTTGAGATCTAGAATTTTCGTAGCATTTGTTGTAAAATTTCTTGCTTACCTGCCTCTCCTAGGATTTTCGAACATCTACAAAATAGTATAATTACTCATTTTTAACGGATTTTGACCCTAAAAAAGGCCACCTATAATTTTCGGGAGCCTTTTCCTGGCTGAAATTTTCGAGAAGGTAAGTTTTTATCCCTATAATTTTGGGATCACTAGATTTCCAGCTAGGAAATCCAAACAGATGAAAAGTTTTTAGGGGATAAAAATATGCCTATATCTACCGTTTGAATACTAAAATACGTTCAACAATGCTATGTTAAGTGGTTTTGATCTATATCCTCGTTGGGTGCCCCTGCAGTATCCTGGCTGTACACATTTACAAGTGATGTTTAAAAACGACTACGAAGATTTTATAGTGTTAGTCAAATACAACTGAATACAACGATAATCAAATAATGGTAATTGAACTAAGTGGAGGGAGGAGTGCAATTCGGTCTGAAATCAAATGCATGATTTTAAAATCAGACGAGCGCGCAGCGCGAGTTCTATTTGAAATCACAAGAGTATCATTTCAGACCAAAATTCCACGACATGACGTTCAATTACCACTTTATTTACAGCCATTTTGAAATACGGCGTAGAATTCAGTCTTTACCAATTTATTTGACCAAGTAGCCGGTTTGCTGAAAAGCGGAAACAAAAGGGCTTTTACATCTCATTTTGTACCCGAAAAGGAAATAACGCAATATGGAGCGAAAATGGTGCGATTCAAAACAGAAATAACGATTTAGAACAGATGTGATTAAAAAAAAAAAAAAAAAAAACTGGTGTGAATCTTGAATAAATCACACTCCTGAGAGCCAATCAGATTGTAGGGATCACCAGTGATTTCAACGTGGATATGAAAAGGAGAGTCACATACCAACCAGAGTCTCACATAACGAGAGTTCAGATTTAAGAGAAGATTTGAAACTTACTCCCTTTAGCCGATTCCCAGTTAATGAGACTCTGCCCTTCCAAAGTTAGATGGTTTCGTTAGCCGTGCGTCAATCTCACTTCAAAGTTATCGACTATATACCTTGCCGTGGGGCTTGAGATTACCGATCAGTGGGACCTTTCCACCAACTGTGTTAAAATCATCAATGGAAAATTGCACGTCAGATCTAAAACGAACGAAAATGGTTATAGTTTACCCATCCCTACTCCTCAGTGACAGGAGACTGTCGAAATGTCTTTTTTTTAATCTTAGAAAAAATAATGGGGTTAGAGACCACAGAGTGAGCACATGACACACTTGGTTAATTGGGTAGGCGACTGGCTCGGTTCACCGCGCCATCTCAGTCTTGTGTTCACATGTACAATTTCGCGACTTTAGGGAGCTCTATCTGCGCTCACTTTAGACGAATTACTTCCAAACCTGTCAAGTTTACAAATGATAATGGGCTCTTTTCAGCGGTGTTGACAGATTTTCGCCAAATGATTCTCATCAAAACTTGATAAAAACGTGGAAAAGTCTAATGCATAAGTCTCATTTAAATGTTTTTTTTTTTTGTCAAATAATTATTCATAATAAGGAGATAAAAATAGACTACTCGTAGTCCCAATTTTTCCTCTGGGATAGTCTCGTCTCTCTCGAGTGAGGGGATTTTCACGCGCGTTCGCGTTTCGCTCTCTCGACTATACCTGAAGAAAAATGAGGACTACTCGTAGTCTAAGAAAAAACCTACTCATGCGCCAGAGCCAGCAAGTGAAGAACTCCGTTAGTGGATCCACCTAAGGCATACATGACTGTTACAGCATTCTCAAAGGCCTGTTAAGGATGGGAAAAGATTCATGGCTTAGACCTTAACTACACATGTACTTTCCTTCAACAACTTCTTTGCGGGGCAAAGACCTGCCTATGGATAGGTTGATTTCGTAAAAAAAACTACGACTGTAATCCAAACCATGAATATGCATGGTTAAAATTCGATTTTCGATTTTCTTATTTCGCTTTGAAAGAGAATAGACATTGTTATTGAAAAACCGGGTAGAGCCACCTTAAAGAACCATAATATCGACAAAATTTTTTTAACGTGTTTTTCACTCAATCAATCATTCTTTGCTATTACATCGTAGCACTCGTTACTCCCATTTTCCGCTTAGAGCGACAAGAAGGTCGGTTGATAAAATGTCTGTGTAATGATAGCTTGTTCACACCTTCAACGAGGTGGTCTTCAGGGGTTACTGGACCTTTACAACACTCGGCAACATCCAATATAACGCGTTTTCAAGGCAAGAACAAATTTAAAATATTTGTTTTAAGAGATACTGACTTTCAATATTCTGAATATCATAATACCTTTCTAGTCATGATATCGCGAGATGTTTGTCCTGTCTTCATGAGTGTAAACAATGTCTTGACAGCTTCTTCCACCTCCCTCAACTTTTTCTCAGCCACCTTGAGAATAAGAAACTCTAGTCAGTTACAATGCTAACTAACCTACAACTTGCTACAACTAACCAGGAAAGATAAAAAAGCACTTCAAGGAAGAGAGGAAAGTCCTTTATAAAGAGACGGAATATAAGAGAGTTGGCCTGATGTTTGACATGTGTTGTCTTATTTTGTTTGTTGTTGTTGTTATTATTTAACTGAAGAAATATCACCACGGAATACCCACTCCAACTGCTCAAGCGTAGAAACAACCTCGTCCCCAGGGTCTTCTCGTTTTCCAATATGGCGGCGACAGGACAGAAGATTCAGAAAAGCTTTTCAATGGTAAACATGTTATTCCCATGCTAACAAGCCCGTCAACATGATCATTTATTACATGTGAAAAACGGCAAGGTTTGCAAAAAAAAAAAAACAAGGTCACCTCTTGCCTCGCTTTTAGTCAAAGACCAGGGCACTAAACATACAACTGTAAAATGCCCAGTTGATACATATGACACGTGAATCGGATCTGGATAATCCAGACTCCAACTAGAGGTCATAATCTCCAACGAAGCAATATTGTAGCGCCACGTATTGCTTGTCTCCAAAGTTCTTTTGGGGCCAGGAGTTTTGCGTGACGAGTGAAAAAGCGGTTGCAAAAAAGGAAAAGGCGCACACGAGCCGAAGGCCTAAACGGCCGGAACTTATCCCGGTTTTCATTAGCATGAAGCACCTAGGAGTATTGCTACTCCCCTACCCGCCCGCCTCCTCCCCCCGTTGACGGGATGCTAGTTCATCGCAGGGTTACCCCCAAGCAGTATGTCACCGGAACCCATTTATACACCTGGATGAAGAGAGACAAAGTGAGTAAAGTTCCTTGTCTAAGGAAACAACGCGACGGGCGAGGCTTGAACCCCGGACCTCCAGATCGGGAGTTCGAGGTGTTAACCACTCGGCCACACACGAATCCAAAGAGCGGTTGCGAGGGAGAGTAAATCGGTTAGGAAGATTCTATTGGATTCATTTCAACATAGAAGTTTTTGGAAATAGAAAAATCAACGAACCAGTCAGTCCGTCAATCACTCAGTCATTCAATCGATTGATCGATCAATCAATCAGACGATGAATCACTCAATCACCAATCAATCAATCAATCAATCAATCAGTAAAGTAAAGTCCCGTTGACCGGTTTTATTTCCTCATGAGTCGTTTAACATAAAACCAAAAGACACCAACCTTGTTCTCACTATCCACAGCAACACCAGAGGCACTCCCTAGTAAACAAAAACAGAAAGCCTTTTACACAAGATGATAGGGACTTTAAGATCCAACGACGCGACGGCGACAAGGACGTTGCGTAAAAAGTCAATTTGCGTTCTTTCAGTCTTTATAGCGATTATTCCTATACCCACTTACTTTGTCAATTGTAGGCGAACCCTCCTGAAGCTGAATTTCAAGGGACCAAATTCAAGCTCAGAAAGACAAATAAAATTTCGTCGTTACTTGTTTACGTCCTCCATAAAACGCGAAATTAGGCATTTTCACGTCGTAGTCGTGCAAAAACGGGAAAGAAATGTACAAAAAAGTGTGATGCACGTGCGAAGTTGTTGTTTTGCTAATTAAACCAATTGTTTTTTTGACGTTCTCGTTGTCGTCCGCGTCGTTGGATCTTAAAGTCCCTAATAGGGAGCTCAAGCAACGACGACGACGATGGTAGACTTTCTCAAAGTCGTTCGCTTGGTTTTCTGGTCTGGTGTGGTCGCTCGCGCTCCGCGCTCGTACGATCGCGCTTCGCGCTCACAGTCGCGCTACGCGCTCAAAAGCTCGACTTGTGAGCAAGTCTACGACGATGGCAAAAACAACGCCGAAAGAGGCAATTAGATTTAATAAGGAAGACATCAACCGTTAGGCTTTTGTACATTATGCTTTTGCTTCCCTACTAAAATGCTCCACCTTAATGATCCATTTTTCCCACTAAGGGCCTGTTTACATGGAGTGGGGGACCCCGGTCTAGTGGGGTAAGTTTCTTTTGTTTTCACGCTCTGGGGGATACAAAACAAAAGAAACTTACCCCACTGGACCGGGGTCCCCCACTCCATGTCAACAGGGTCTAAGACGCTCGGTCTCCCTAAAAAGGTCACTAAAATGCTCGGATAATGCTCATTATAAAAACGGTTTTTTTTTAAAAATTAATTTCAAAGTTTACACTTACAAAAACGTGCAAGTGTTGCAAGTAACAACGACAACGTGTCCAAGTTCATAAATACAGCCAAAAAAACCAGCTGTATTAGGTTTTTTGTGAATTTTGAATTTTAGTCTTCATTTTGTTTAAAAAAGCAGGAGCTCATGGGGCATGGGCTCCTGAAAAAAGTTTTTTTTTTTTTTTCTCGGAAAAATTAATTTTCCGGGGAAAATGCCACTAAAATGCTCGAATAATGCTCAATGCTTTTGCCTCACTAAAATGCTCGAAAAAATGCTAGCATAATGTACAAAAGCCTATCAACCGTCCCAGCAAGGCTTCATCTTGATAAGTTTGAAAACGAATACTTCTCGTGATTGACTACATACCTGGCAGTGTCAGCCCAAGGGTTTCAACCACAGATGACATGGTGTTTGCTGTAAACATCCCCCCTAACAAAAAAAAAATAACAAGAAAAAAGTGAAAATTGGTATTTTCCAACGGTTGTAACCCCAGATAGCCATTCAAATTATTCTAAAACAAAAAATTTAAACAAAACAAACAAACAAAAAAGAAAAACCGCGGAAAGGTCTTTTGGACAATTTTAACCCGTTTTTTTTCTTTTGTTCAAAAGCATTTTCCCGGATAATTCCCTTCATTCGTTTAAGAGCATCCAATCATCAAATTGTAGACAAAAAGAATAAAACTGATTTTATTTTTGGAGCTTTCATATCTGAATTTAACTTACGCATTAACCCTGGGTTATCTTAACCCTGCTTTAAACAACCCGACCTTGGAGTATTTTTTCTTACCGCACGCTCCAGGTCCAGGTATGGCGTGACACTCAATATCCTTAAGATCTTCAATGTCCATTAACCCGGCACTGTAAGAACCTATTGCCTAGAACAGGGGACATTTTTTTTATTACAAGCATGCCAATACACTTCAATACCATATGTTGAGCAATGCGTACATCCTACATTGAACGAATCTAGTACCATGAACTACAGACACTTGTGGACGGAAGAACGCAACCTCTGTACAATTTACTAGCTATAGGCTTTGCACGGCGTCACCTGTAAAATCTTTTGAGGTTCCAAAAAAACGTTATCCAATCGGGTAATCCGGGAGAAGTAGCTGCTGGGTAAGTAGCTTTTAAAGTTCACTTGCCCAATGGGAAAGGGTCTAGGCAAAACATCCACCAACAAAAACATTAGGGAGCTTAAGCAACCAGGACGACGACCACAACGACGACTTCGAAAAAAACAATAGGTGTAATGATCAAAACAACAGCTCTGCACGTGCATCACGCTTTTTAGTACATTTCTTTGACGTCCAATGCACGACTACGACGTGAAACCTCCTAATTTGTCGTTTTATGGAGGGCGTGAACATACCACGACAAATTTTTCTTCCTCTCTTTGAACCTGAATAAAATCCCTTAAGAATTCAACTCCAGGAAAAGTCGCCTGCATTTGACATATTGCGCGGCTCCAAAATAGAAGCGATTAAATTTGAAAGAACGCAAATTCATTTTTTTTTACCGACGTTTTCACTGCCGTCGTCGTCGTCCTTGCTTAAGGTCCCTAATAACTACTGTAAGACGAGTGAGTGGCCCGGGTGTAAAATGCGAGTGCTACTTGCCCAAAAGGCAAGGTAAACGTGAAGTTTTTTCCGAGCCCTAAGTACACTGTATGGAACGTGGTTAAGCATGTACTCGAACTGACATGGAAGCTTGTAATTAGCAATTATTCCACGAGTGCGCGTTGGATATGAGTTGGCTATAATCATCTCATATCCAAACAGCACGAGTGGAATAATTGTTTTATTAAAAACGCCCAGAAAATATCGAGAATTCTTCCCGACTTTATTTGTACAAACAACCTATTTTCACCTTGTTTTTAATTTTGAGCAGACGCGTACAGTTGACATATTTGGAGGGCATGCCGGGTATAATGGCCAATATACCATGATGGCTAAGCTAATGAGAGCTCTAGAATTGCATTATCCAATTATTCAGTTTTTTATAGTATATGCCATGAAGTTACCTCAAATGGACTCCCTGCACTTAAATTCTTATGTTTCTTTCCGCAACCAGGTAGCATGGTCCCACCATAAACTACTATACCACACTGTTGAGCAGAGGATAAGAAGTAAGGCTTATTGATCAGTCCTTTACTTTCAGAGGTGCCTCATGATCAAGATATTATTTAAAAAACAATAACAACAACAAAATAATAATAATAATAACAACACACAGCAACAAGAAATTTCATTTTTTTAAAGATCCTTAACCCTTTAAGTCCCAAGATTGATCAGCATCAACTTTCTCCTTGTGATATCACTGCATAATAAAACACAGTGGACATGAGAATTGAGGACATGATCACACAAGGTGAATCTAACTGATACTTCAACAAATTCTCCCCACTACTTCCATCAAAAATGATAGGGATAACAAATGAGACTTTGAATTTTGATATTAGGGTTTAAATGGTGAAAGCCTACTAGAACCACGCAAATGTGCTTCAGGAAAGGTGACTAACTACAACGTGAACTTGGATCAGCGGAAGGTTTAGGTTCAAGCCTTGCCGTCGCGTTATTTCCTTAGATAAGAAACCTTGTTCCATTTTTTCTCTCTCCATCCAAGTGAATAAATGAGTACCGGCAACGATATCCAGTCATCTCGCCACCACCGAAATAGCTACCAATTATCTTTAAAAACTCCCAAGTACACACAAATGAAAAGAACTTTCATGGACATAAATTTTCTATTAACCTCTACTCTGCCATCTTTCAAAGAAATGACTGGTGGTTGTGAAACGTTTCTGCCTTTTTTCTTCTTTTTTCTAAATGTCAAAGTAAATTTACCGCGAACCTATCGGTATTTAGTGTTAAGAGCATGACATGTCAAAGCAAGGATCGTCAGTAAGGATCCACACATTTGTATTTGGGACGACTTAAAATTCGAATAAGCTTGGCGAAAAAGTAAAAAATCTGACGCAAGTATATCCTAGGTATCAAACTATGTCAATTATTTCACTGAGTTATTCGTTGGTGGCGATTTCGTTGGTAGCGAGATGACAGTAAACCACGGCAACGTACTGCTAGGAGTAACACGTCTAGGAAGGGGGCGGGGAAGACAATTTTAATTTTTTTCCTTTACGGCACAGAAAATAGACAGATTAAAGGTGATGTTACTCACGACGATTTGCAACGACGATTCTCAGCGCAACACAGCGTGGCAATGTTGAAACAATGCTGCAACCGTTCGAAACAATGTCGCGCCAATGCTGTAATGCTGTGTTGAGCCAAAAATCGTTGTTGCGAATCGTACCGTGTAACATCACCTTAAGAACCGCGTTTAAAGCAAAAAGACAGAGCAGCAAACGGGCAATTTTGGTCACTCTATTTATGGTTTACTGTTGATTATAGCCTGTTCCAGGCTCTAAGATAGTGGGGAAAGTGGATGGAAAAAAAATGCACGAAAACTGCATGGGCGCTGGGGTGTTCGCCCGGGTTTTGCGCTCTGCGTTCTGCACTGACTAGAGCCTGGCATGGGCCGACGATGTTGATTATGTCCGAATAAATAATATAGCAAAGTAAGTAGTTTCATGCCTGGCAATTCCATGCGTAACAGCTATTTGGGACACTTTTAATCTGGTCATCTCAACAGACTCATGACCTTCCAGTGAGGCAGTATCTAAACTCACCGCATTGAGTCTTGGCAGAGCCATTGTTACACCAGGTATTGTCTTGTCACAACCAGCCAGGCAGATCATACCATCCTGAGTAGGAAAAGACACAGGTATTGAAGCAATGATTTGGCTATAGAGGCCCCTGGTTAATACCTCCTTTCGATATTTTCTGTCTTGTCGTTCGTCACCCCCCCGCTCCCCGCTGAGGTGCGATTTAACAGTTTTGACGAACGAAAGTTCGTCATAGCTCACTGCGCCTTCATTAACAACAAAGTCACCTTAAACTAGATGCTGAAAATAGAGAGAAACATAAAATATTTCACAGAAGGAACAAGAGGACGTCAGCGGGTAGGGGAAAATAAACAACAAATTGGCCAACTTCCAATGTATGGTTCTTCATAGCTCAAATGGTACAGCACTGCAGCGCTAACGCGGAGGCCATGAGTTCGAATCCTGTTGAAGTCCCGGTTTCTTTTTTCTTTTTTTTTTATTTGCAACTGCTTAAATTGCAATTACCACTGCGACCCGACGATCATATATTTATTTGAAATTTGTATTTCTGCAGTTCACATCATCTTCAAATAAAAAAAGAAATAAGGTATGGAGGAGGAGAAGAGAACACAACAGAATTTGTCACAGCAAATTTGAAGATTTATCTGCACAAAATTGTGTGAGAAAAAAAAAAGACCATGTTATCGATAAAGAGGATGAAAATGACAATCCTTTTTAGTATTTATTTATCTCACCCCTGTGTAACCAGAATGTGTTATTTCGATGCAATCTGTGATCCAGTCTCTTGATATCAGGGAATATTTCATACCACTGGTTCCCTAAAGAATAATTTAAACAAACAAGATTACTAGTCACCTCGCTATGGGCCTTACAATATTATTTAAATCTGAATACTCACTTCATATCAAAGAGAAAATTCAAACACATGTACGATGCTTTGTAAAGCTTGAAGGTCAAAAAAGGAGGCAAATTATAGGTGTTGTTAAGATTTAAGTAGAAGTTTGTAAAATTGTGTTGAACTTGATATTGAACATCCTGGAGGAATCCATGTTATGATCAATTAAAAGCTGCCAAAAAGAAGGTATCCAGTGACCAGTTTCATCTACTGCGGGCTCAGGAGTAAAATTTTGACTATTTTTGGTATTCAGACAAGTGATGCTAGCTTAGAAAACTGAATACTTCAGAATGATTTTTTCTCAAAAAGTTCCCACATGAGCTCGCTTTTGACCTTGGCTAAAGTTATATATAAATTTGAAATTGGCCTATTACAAGCATGAGTAATTAGTCCATTACCATTGTCATTGCATCACTTATGACAGGTGTACAACTCAGAACAGCTTTCCCTGAAAGGCAAGGTAGGGCACTCCTTAACTTAAGTGTCAAAGTATTTCATAGATCTTAGCTTGGATTGTGTACATGTATCAGCTCACTACTGTTGTACATTAGTATATCTTACTGTTTGTGGAGTCATCAAAAAAGTTAAAAAGAAAGAAAAAAAAACTGTGAAAAAAAATTTTTTTTTTGCACATTTTGCACATTCTAATTATTGTGCCATATTTTCCCAAGAAAAATATCAACTGCATCAACAATTGATTTAATTATGATTTTGCTAATAGTTTGGCTTGTCATTACAGAGGAATGTCATACCTCCCTGTTCCTCAACAGCTTTAATCACGTGATCTGCAAGCTCCCTGCAATTTTACATTACATTCTGTCACTCGTACAGGTGTTTTGCTTTATATTTTTAAAGGAAACATTAAACTTACAGATTTTTTTAATAATATCTTATTTGGACTCCTTTAGTTTTACACTGCACAGCATGGATTCGGACATTTTGTTTTGAATCAGTGTCTTATGGCTATTTTTTATTTGGCACTTGCAGGAACAAATTGTTTATATAGAGCTCTTGGTTTGATCCCCATTAATGAAATATATAGCCCACCAGAACTGAACTGACTATATTTTCTTTTAAATTAATTATTATTCCAATGAGATCACATGGTGAATTGTGGCCTTGGATATTAACAGTAATAACTCGCGGCTTGATAAATATTCCTTGCAGCTTGATATTCACCTTGATCTAAAAAAAAAATGTTAATTATCATTATCATTATCATTACCATCATTAATGTCGATATCATTATTAAAACCATAATCATAAGTTAATAAAGAATTTTTACCTGAAGTGGAAGTTACATGGTATAACATTGATGTAAGGGCATGCTATTGTTATAAGTGGTTTTGTAAAATCTTCATCCTAAAAAGGATAAGAGAAATAAACTTGCTAACAATGAAACAAAAAAAAAACTAGATTACTGGTTTTAAAATGCATAATGACCTACTAGCGACTGTAGCCTACATTATTCTGTTTAACTGTGCACATTGATTTCCATATTCTACCCAATGAGCTGGATAGAGTGATTTTGCACAGTACACTCAAATTCCATCCATTCATATAACAATAAATTTCCCATAAAAAATGAACTAGGCTTAATTATAATAAACTTAAACTTGTCTAAAAATATTAATGGGGGATTAGTCATTCGCAGCATCTGAAGGTGTGGCTTTTTAAAAGAAGTTGACCACCAATAAAAATTATTGTAATGCATCAGTTCCACTTTGTGATTTCATTCACCCAAAAAACCACAAACAAACAAAACCAGAAATGAAGGCAAAATATTGCTAAAAATTAAGGACCTGAAGCAGTTGTTTGGAGATACCAAACCCCCTTTTTCACTAACATAGTCTTTATCTCAGCAAATGTTCCTTGCATGTTGGGCAATTTGTCAATTTCAATTACCAATTGTAATTTCACAACTCACAATTAAACACAACAACAACAACAACAACAAAAACAAGCTCAACAGGTTGCACCACTTAGGGCCTGTTTACATGGAGGTGGGGGACCCCAGATAGGTGAGGTAACATGCTGCGGGTCACCCCACCTATCATGTAAACGTGATCAAATTAAAAAAAATTAATGAGAGATTATGTGGACAGGAGGGTTACCCACCAAAGTGGGTTACCTCACCTGCTTGGGGTCTCCCACCTCCATGTAAACAGGCCTTTACTCCAGGTTGATGGACAGCATGTTTGCCACACCCTAGTGGTGATACCTTAAACATAGATATTTACCTTGAAACCAATGGCTCTCAAATGTGCCCTTGCCCCTGTCTGAAAGGAGTAATTAAAGGGTTTTGTTAATCATTAGTCTCACAATTGTCACATAGATACTGATCCCGACGTTTCAACAGTATGTGCAGGACAAAATCAGCGAGGCAATAAGTCGATTTAATGAGTAGAACTATTTGTACCACCATTACATGGTTGTTAGTGACCGGCGTATCATGAACCTCACTCATGGTCCGTGGGTTTCAATCCAAAGCATTGTTGGTATTGTTAGAGGAGGAAACTGTTCCCTCAGCAATCTGTTGTGGTAATGATTGGATGCTATCAGGGTGCAAAGATAGTCAGTCTTACAGCCTGCCATTTGGGCAAGCTGTAGCTAGCATGTACTAGCCCACAAGTCATTTCAACTAGCCCCAAAACCCTTTTTGATTAGCAGGATTGATTACAATCCTCTGTAATTTGAATTTCTCCAAAAAACAGCACTTGACCTTCAGGCAAGTTAAGAACTAAAATCACTAGCCTGATAGCAAAATCCACCTAGCCCCGGAATATCGGACATGACTTTCTCTGCACGCTGGCTATGCTGTTCAATCTTAGGAATGCCTGCTTCAGGAATCTCAATTCCACTGTCCCTGTTGATATTGTTGGTGTGAAGTCTTGAATGAATAAGACTCTATGAGAATACCAGTGAGGGTCTTAGTCAATAAACTTAACCTCATCCCAGAGCGGATAATGCCTGGTCTTATTGGCATGTTCAGAGATGGCTGAAGTTTCAGTTCTTGAAAGCCGCCTATATCCCTATCATGCTCCTTGATCCATTCATACATGCACCTTCGCATTTCGCCAATGTATACTTATACACTACTCCATCTTGTTGTGCAGCTGGTATAACTATAAGTCCAGTGGTAAAACTATAAACACTTCTAAATGCTGCAGCCATAATGCTCAGCATAGGAGCATTGACTTCCGCCTGTACCTTTTTAATCCAGCTGGTCTGGTCTGCAATATCGCCTGTCAGAATTTTGCTATTAACCTGTGAAGACAAACAATTCAGCAAATATTATTGAATGACCCGACGTAAACACTATACGGTGGAACCTCAGGAACATGAACTCTTAAGGGACACACAAAAAAATTTGAGTTAGCAGGAAATTTGAGTTATCTGAGGTCGAGTTATCGAGGTTCTACTGTAACTTACAAGGTTGATTTAAGTCTATCTCTCTCCTCCACTGATCAGGTTTGATTGGATGTCAACAGATTTCCACTGTGCAAAGTGAGTGGAGGTAATCAAAATTTTAGACCTCAATTCACTCTTGCCCTGCCTTTTACAGACCATTATTACCTATGATTAGTGCCTCCTGATGAAATTTCATTGGTATCTTACATGTCTCTTCTTTTTAAATGCTACAGGAGGATTTTGTGTATGCGGGTAAAGGCACTAAAAATGACGTCAGCACAAACAGCAATATCCTCATGACATTAAGTCACTTTGTTTGTATACAGCTAAATTTTTTTCAAGAAACTAGGTGTTGGAAAAAGTCATGCAACAATCCCAAAAGGTGGATGGTTTTGATTTTGCTGTTCTTCAAGGAAATTTGAAAGAATGGCATGAGAGGCCATGGACTTACATGTATGTTTGCCGATGCTAAAGGAAAGCAACAAAAGTAGGTTTGACAGTTTCGGTGTCAGGGACAGTGCATTGATTATATCCCATATTACCTTTCGGGATTGTCCCGTGCAAGTTTTTTGTGACAACCTTTCTCGAAATAGTGTGTATAAATGGCATTTCCCAGGCTCTTGCTTCAAGTTTAATTCAATATCCATATCCAGTCGTTCAAACTGCTGAATTTAGAGTAGGTCATGATATGTTCTTATGTCTGAGGCCAAAATTCAAAATACAGGTTATTTATTTCATTTATATATTTATTTTTTCATTTTCAAACCTAACATCTGTGGGTTGATTCTCAAAATTCCCTCAAAAGGGGAAAATGACTTCAGAACCACAACATACTGTAATTGTCACAAATCCCAAAAGGTCCAGGCAGGGTCTTTTTATAATAATGTTCGATCTTGAATTTACATGGGCATGAAAGTGTTGCGTTATCATTTTTAATTTCTTTTTAGAGTAAATTAAACATGTTGTTAATAAATACTTGACATGAATTAAAGTGATATTAAGCTTAAAAAAAATAACGTAAGCTTAAGTCTTATTTTGAACCAATTTGTTACAATAATCGCCCATGCAATAATAAAATACTACGTGTAACATAGAAAAGTTCTTAAAATTATTGATTTTGCGACCCACCTTCAAAAGAGCAGCCATAATGCAGAGTTTTATAATCGATTCATGAAGAAGAAATCAGTCTATTTCCTGCGTCAACTAGTGTTACAGCCCTCTGCAAAAATAAAAAAGAACTTGAAGCTACGAACTGCGCTTCGAGCTGCATGTCCCGCGAGCATGTCAGGTACGTCACGCATCCGTCACGATTTGTCACGTGCTTTGATTTTACATGATTTTATGTGTAACGGCTGACTGCTAGATCATTTTCGTGAACAGCTGAATCGTGAAGTGCATACGATAAGAACAGTTTTTAATCTTAAATTTTGAGAAGCAGTTCAAGAATTTCATTTTAAATAAAGCGCCAAAAACGACGCCCATCCAGCGCCCTGTAGCCTTCACCGTCTTTTTGAACGAGAAGGAGAATGGGGAGAGGAAGGGGATCGTTTCTAAAGGTTTGGGAATGGACGTGACTTTTGACTTAATTAGCAATTAGGCACTACTATCTGACGTCATGGACCACAATTCCTAAGGGCGCTAACTGGCCGGCTGGACCAGGTATTTTCCAAGAGGTTTTGCTGAAAAACCATCTACAGTCGACTCCCCATAAGTCGACCCTCGCAAACTCGAACCAAAATCGATTTCCCCTGGACTTCCGTCATACACTCGAGTTTTACCCTCGGTAAAACCCTCGATCTTGAAGCAAAATTTTCGTTTCCCCTTATTGGGAGTATAGTTTACTAGAGGAGGCTGATGTTGATTGTCACAGGCTAACGTGAAGCAGCTTTACTTCTCAAAACAGTAAAACGCATGTTCTATTTAGGCTATGTTTTTGTTACGTTACGTTCTGATTTATGATCTAGAAGTATCTTTTAATTTTCACTTGACATTTCTACAATTAAATGTGACTAAAATGTTCACTGTGCAGTAAAAACTGTTTTTAAAAAGCTTTACTCTCGGCTATTTTCTTCCAGCTCCCGATAACTCGAACTCCCGATAACTCGAACTTTTGTCGATTTCCCTATCGAAAGTCGACTTTACTTAGTCCTTAGTTATTTCATACCGCGCGGGGCCCTGGCACTACCGGATTTCCCGGACTTTTTAAAAAGTCCAGTTTCAAAATGGCGGATTATTAGTCAGAGGATAGTCAGAGTAAAAACTCGAACGAAAGCATTCTTTTTCGAAGAAATATTGATCAATATTCATTCGGAGAATCAGCCTCAACTTAGTAAGGAAAGGGTGTAACTATTTCTGCCATGTCCTGAAGCTAAACTCAAGGAGCCGACACTCAGCAAGTGCAAACAATCGTTCGATAGGTCGCTCGAACCAAAGATGATTATAAATTTTCTACAGCAAAGGATCCTCTGTTTAATTCTACCTGCATCTGTTTAGTAGAGGATCATTGCAGGCAAGAACACAGGTGTGATTGTGTACGTACCGATCGTAACCTAAGTATGCTGGAACAAAACTTAAAAGGGCAGTACAGAAGGGCTTACCTGGATTATTCCCGTCGCAGAAAAGAGAAATGTACGTGAAAGGTACTGGGTGCAGTGAACTCTGTGGCGTTGTGTATGTTAAACCTAGTGTTTTAAATCACATGCAGGAGAATAAGGGACGAGTCTATACTCAGTGCATACTAAATAGATGTACGAGACATTCTTGACTGGATTACAAGGTAATTGTCCAAATTGTAAATTAATGCTCGTAGACCCAGTAAGTTCCAAAAAGGGGCAGCTCAACGAGCGATCCCTTGTAAGCCATTACCAACTGACATTTTATCAATGAATTTATACATGTCTTGAGTAGTGTCTAAATTACTAGAATTTCAATGTAATTGGAAGGTACAGAATCACACTTAGGGGCCTCACAAAGAAACTACAAAGAAACACAATTTATCTCCCCAAGAAAAATTACTTGTGTAATTTTATCATTGCTCAATGCATGAGGTCTGGTTACAGGAACTGCAGTGTTACCGGACGAGAAATGCCTCTCTTGTAGGACTGAAGTATACTTGCTTTTATCTATGTTCAGTGAGAATTGTCTCTGGTCAGATCTTTAGGATTTTTTACTGAGACCGTACGCAGCGAAGGAGAGAAAACCTAATGTAAGCCTTGCTGACCTAAGACGATGTTATCCGTTAACTCAGGGTCACTCTGGCTTGTTTCGCTTTTTGGTAGTCTTTATTTTACGTTTGTAAAAACAGGTACACCCACTCCCTTATCATCCAATATTCGTTCGGATCCATCGCCGTAAAAAAAAGCTAAACCCGGCGGTTCTTTGTTCAAATTTTTTGTCGAACAATTCGGGAATCCTTCCAATACTTCCAAGTAGCGAAAGTCTCCGATTAGCTCTTTCTTTTCTCGAAATTTTTAATCGAAGTTTTTTAAAGCAGTAAAACAACAACTGTTCTTCTTAGCTCTAGAATATTAACTTCCTGGAGTACATTGTTTCAACTACACGCAATGACCTTTGCTTTACCTCTTTACCCTCTATTTTGGAAGCCATTTTGAGTCCGGAATTTAAAAAGTCCGGGAAAATCCGGTAGTGCCAGTCTCCCGGGCGGGATGAAATCAGGCAATAAATAATGTTTCTGAATGGTTAGTTTTGCTTTCAGTAAGAAGAAGTGCCTTTATTTACCATTCATTCATTTGTACACATATAACCTATTACATTACCACAAGGCAGGAGATCAAACAAGCTTTGTAGAGCTTTTAGACGATCTCCGCTTTATTCTAAGCAGATGTAACGAATAAAGAAGGCGGACTTCCTGTTTTACGAACTGATATGAACTAAAATTATTACAAAACTATTACTATTATTGCTTAAAAGTGAAATTTCATTACGATGAGAATGGGCAGGCCGGTACAGGTCAGTTCTGGCAAATGGAAAGCGCCCTTGTACTTTTCCTAATTCCGAGGCGCTCTTTTCAGCAGTGACGATGAATATTCATTTCCTGGTCTTTATCAAACCTTGAAAAAAAACATGGAAGGCTCTACTTAGAACACATGAAAAATGACCTTAACTTGATTACAATGACCACGAATCTAGTGATCTCGTTTGCATGCAATGGAAGGCATCGCGAAATGTGTGTGGGAGGGGGAAAACGCGAGGGAACTGGGAAGAGGGGAAAAGTGTTTTTCTGCCCTCTTCTGACCTTTCTTCTTTTTGCTTCTGACTTCCTGCAATTGACCGTTGTCTTACTCACATTACAACAACACTTATATTTTTAATTCTTTATCGCCAGCAGTCGTTTACAATGAAAAAGAAACAACCATTGATAACTTAAACACATTTACACCGACTCAGCCATTACTCAGGTTTACCGGTTAAATAAAACGTTAACTGCGAAAATGTATTTCGCTACTACTATTCATTGCTGATTTTTATTTATTTATTTATTTTTATATGTATTTATTTTTTAGACTGTGCTTGGCAAAGACGTGAGCCACTCCGTGAATAGTCCAGCTGTTGTCGACCATAATGTAGTGAAGTTTTCATAGCATGAAACTTTGCTAGGTTACAAACAGCCTTACGACTAGCCGTTTTGGACAGAGCCAACCAAAACTCAACACTGGAGACGAGTACTGCGCAGGCCCTTACAGGGGCGTAACCAGGACTTTTCTAGAGGTACGCACAATTTTCAAAATCCCGCCTGCTCCACCTGCTCCCCCAGCTCCCCCACCCCCCTTCCCCTCAAATTCCCAAATTATTTTCAGGTGCCTCCATTGAGGTCTTGGTGTTCCAAACTAATCCGTGCATTGTAGAAGTTGAAACTTTTTATGATGTAAACACTTCCTTGCGTCTTTATAACTTTGCATAACTGCTGGCCATGTGAGCGAGAGGCGCTGTTCACAGACGACTTTTGAAATAATTATCTTATATTCATTTGAGTGTCGAAGCAAGAGAGAGAGCCCTGGGAACGCGGTTGATGGCCCCGATGCAACACTAAGTGCAAAACACATTTGGTCCAGAGGGTGCCCGCTACTTAACATGCAGGCTTGAAAAACAAAAATCGCTTATCAACAGCTATACACATTAATTCTACAACCGTCAGTAGTAAGAGCGTTCTTCACATGCAGTTTTACCATCTTGGTTGCCAATGCATTTTTACGTGCGCTGTCCGGTTTCGCATGTGGTCCGGCCCACAGCCCGACATGCGTCGGGTCCCCGACCGAGGCCCCGAAGTACCCCTCCGCTCGCGAGGAAAATGGTCTGGTATCCAGGATACGCTTTCTTTTACCCACTTAATCTTGACTCTAAATTTTCCGGCGCCACGCGGTTCACTCTTCCAAAAAATCGCCTTTCAATGTTTTCAGCTTTTCCAGCGTCTTTTCTAGTTAGTAGTTGAATCAACGCAACTCGAAACTGCCTAATTCTTACACAGTAAATAACCGGGTTACTAAGCGAATTCAATGTTATCACTAGAACTCCTGTGAAATGAAAAATGAATAATAAATTGACTGAATTGACCACAGAATTAACCATAAGTATTCGTGAAAAGGTGATGGGTAAAAAGCATAATATTAGGAAAGGACGGTTACACTCACTTTAAAAGCTTTTTTCTGTTTCAAGAATTTCTCTTTGGCCTCCAACGAAACTTGCTGAGCAGCGATCTTTTTCTTCTGACGACGTGTTTCGAGATAAATCATCACTTGGCAGAAGGAAATGATGGCTATGCTTAAGAAAGCTACACTACCGTCAACCTGAGCGTTTGTTTGGTCATCTATGTTAGCAGCAGGCATGATTAACTGTATGAATAGGACTGTTATCCACAAGAGAGCAGACAAACCTATTAAACGAGCTTCGGTGACCATGGTTTCGTACTGCAGAGGACGTCTAATGGCAATGTACTTCTCTGCATTCACCAAGATAATGTGAAATAAGGATGCATTACCTGACAATGCTATAGCAAGAACACCTAATTCTTTTCGTAAACAGTAAGTACTGGAGGCGTAACCTTGGAGCTCTGCGATCACCCCTGAGATAAAAAGAGGTTGACCGATTACTCCCATTGCCAAATCTGTAGTCGACAAACAGGAGAGCGCAATGTTTAACTTGGTTTTAACTCGGGGTTTAGTCTTAACAGTGATTATGATCAGAGCATTCATAACAACTGTATGTGGACAAGTAATGGCGCTGATGACGGCAATGAAGACAAGCCATCCATAAGCTTCTGGGGTATTTTTTGGATCGAGAGTTCCATGCGGGATTATTGGATCACATCTAAGAGCTATCCTCGCCGTGCCTGAGGCTGCTGTTGAATTCATATCTTTGCTTTGCTTTTTCTCGATGAAGTTGTATTTAGAGGTATGCAACGGCGCGACTCTCCGTTGGTGTGACGATCTGTGACGGCTCGCATCAACTTGACTCTCACACGTTTCGCTTGACGGATTGCGGAAAAAAGGGGGAGCTGCCAACAGTCTAATGTTCTTTTCGCACCCACGAAATGTTTTTGCTGCAATCTTTTAGTTTGGATTTAAACTTAAATTGGGATATCGTCCCTTAGTATAGGTTTTTTGTTTTTTGTGAATTTGTCTCAGTATTCCAGGTGTGAAATGCAAGAAAGTAGTTCGATAATAATTCGGGTGATAATTTGGGTTGCTTTAATCACAAGGGTTTTTTCATGTGAAAGAACACTGTATAGAATGCGGTTTTCTTAGAAAATAAATTAAAAAAGCCGCCGTAGTCCTTGAAAATTGTGAAAATTGAAAGTCAGTATAGTTGATAAAGGCATCTTAAGAGTCATGCATCTTCGGTAAACTCAGGCAGCACTTTAAATGGCTGGAGTATATAAATATATTTAGTAATGTCGGTTATTAATATCCTTGTCAGTTTAATTTAATAGTCGCAACATCGGTCTTTGATCAAGCGGCTGACTTTTTAAATTTGCATAAGCATCGAAACATTTCAAGGAACTATAAATTTAACTGAAAAGACCCAAATTTTAATTTCACTAAAATAGGTAAATGTGTTTCACAATAATGCCAATGGTTTCACTAGAAGAATACTTCTCTCTGCCGTCATCAGTTACTTTAGCCATATAACATCGATATCGCTCTTTAAACATTTGACGACGCGGTGTCGCTGAAAAATAGACTTCAATTTCGTTTGACAATGGGACACGCGCGGTTTCTCTGATACATGGCTTAATTTTATTATGAAAAACAGGTGATTAAATTTAGTGAAAAGCTATAATTACATCTATGGAACAGCTTATACCTCTCCCAGTAGTCCTAGTATTACACTGACACTTTACATGACAGGAACTCCCGTTTAAGATGATTCTTAAAAACCGATGTCTGATCCTTGTCGATTCTCATCGCTCACCCGAAACGAGTCCCTATAAATATATATATATATATATTAGTATCGAACTGAATTCGGAACGCAAGACTTTGTCTTCCTTTGCTTATTACTATGATTCATAATAATAATAATAATAATAATAATAATAATAATAATAATAGTAATGATATTATCTTTTTCCCCACTTGAAATGGACATCAATATTATGACAGCAACAATAACAGAAAGCCACCATTGCATCTTGTAATAGCCGATCTAGTAGGGTTGCATCAGTCGAACTTTCTATTTTCTGCCTTGTCGGCTCTGCAAAGTATTCGTCTCCGCTCATCGGGAAAGCCAGCCGTATGATTGGCCATCGAGGTTGCGCGTAACGCTGTGTAGGTTTGGCCTTTTTCAAAAATACCATAATACTAGCTCTTTGCTGTCCCTCCAAAATTTTGCCTAAGCATTGTTTTCAATTTTTCACCCTTGTGACAGTAAATGGCATGGCCATTTACTCTCACAAGGGTAGTTACCAGGGAGTAAGCGGTCCAGTGACTAAAATCAACTATGTAATGGGATTACTTTATTGGCCGTCCAATATTTCCTAAGGAGTACTCGAGTATTGTATTTAGACACTGTTGTAAGGACATTTCATCAAGTTTCTTTTTGCTTGCCGGTCACAAATTCGGTGGAGATGGCCGGCCGCTTGACCGGCAAGCAATAAAAGGATAGTTGTACTTAAGCCATTGTAAACAGGTTATTTGTACAGAAACTTATTTCCATTTCTCAAAAAAAAAAATAAAAAAGAAAATACATTATTTAAATCGTTATTAATTAAATCAATTATTAAATCAGGCCACAGATTTGTTCTCATTGCGACAATTTTTTGACTCTGGTAAAGTTACAACTGATATAATGGATCAGTTTTGGAACACAAGCGATGCACTAGCGGATATTTAAAGCACTTACAACATTTGTCATCTGTTAAACTCTTATCATCTCGTTTTACTGCTTTAACAAAAGAAACAAATTTAAATGTGTAACATGTATTGCGACACACGGTGTTAAAATGTTTTATAAATGACTTAAAAGTTGATCTCTGCAAGGTGAAGTTTCGCAAAAGCGTGTCCTGTCCGCAACAACTTATCTGCTTTCATGATTCTACCTCTCTCAGCTAGACAAAGGTACAAAGGTACAAGGTCCAAACGCTTGATAGTATGAAGTGTGTTACTGAAAGCTCCCTCTCTCTATGTACGTCAAAGTCTAATTTCAGTGAATGGTCAATGGACGGCGGTGACTGATACATAACCTTTAATTCATGGATAACAAATGTTAAAAGGCAAGACGTTGTTATGATTCTCCCACTCTTACTACTGAGGTGCACAAGTGTGTTTGAAAAAGAATTGAATTAAATTTAAGGACACAAATTGGACTAGTCTACAATTTCCTACGGCTGTTCTGAGTAGAAAGGCATTGATCCTGTCTGAAAGCATCTCTTAGTATACTGTTTTTAAATTGCTAAAACTGTTCTTCGGATGCAGAATTTATAATGCCCTAGACGACTTGATTTTCAAGTCTTTAGTTTTTTTTTTTTCATTCATGCTACGGAGTTGATCTACCTTTGCAATAATTTTGTCCCAAATGTAAATTGCGTTGATAATAAAGTAATTAGCCGGCGTGCTCTTTTGAGCTGTTAATGATAATATTTTTAGCAACTAATGGAGAGTCTATAGTACTCCTTATTTTATTATTACTTTCTCTCCTCTTTTACCTAGTAAGGTATATGAGATAACTTTATTAATGAACTTTTTTTATTTACATTTATAAACTACACGATGAAACTGAGCGCGGTAATTATCGTTCGAAATCATTACTGTCTATTTTCAATCGGATATTTGAAAAATTAGTGTAACACCGCCTCAAACCCTTTCTTGGTAAAAACGATATTTCATTTAAGTCACAGTATGGCCTCCGCGAAAAACATTCCACGCAACATGCCATTATTGACATTGTTAATGTCATACAAAACAATATGGACCAAAAACGTTTCAGTTGCGGGATCTTTTTAGACTTAAAAAAGGCCTTTGATACCTGCGACCTTGATCTTGCTTCAAAAACTTAATCTTTATGGCATCAGAGGAATTGCCAATGACTGGTTTGCCTCGCACTGTCTTGATATTTCACAAGTAACCAAAGTAGGTTTTAACTTATCTTCCGAATGTATGACCTCATGTGGTGTCCCACAGGGGTCTGTACTTGGTCCTCTGTTATTCTTGATCTATATTAACGATATCCATAACTCTTCAGCGAAATTCTCATTCTTTCTCTTTGCTGATGACACGAACTTGCTGTACGCTGACGCTAATTTAAAATCTCTTGAAAAAACCGCCAATAGAGAACTGCTCAAAGTCTGCTACTGGCTTAATGCAAATACTTTTACCGCTCAGTGCTAAAAAGTCAAACTATGTTATCTTTGGTCCATATACGTAAGTTGAACTACTAGGTTAACATTGAAAAGATCGATAACTGTACCCAAATTCCTACTGCCCTTGAGTGTGAAGACAATGTTAAATATCTCCGTGTCCTATTGGACAGCAATTTAAGCTGGAAATTTCATATTTAATAATGTTGCATTAAAAGTAAGCAGAACTGTTGGTGTTGTTGCCCGTCTTAGGCACTTCGCCCCACGTACTACCTTTTAAAATATTTATCAATCTTTGATATTGCCTCATCTGATATACGGTTTGGTGGCTTGGGGTCAAGCTGCCAAAACCCATTTACAAAAAAAATTCTCGTGCTACAAAAACGAGTCCCTCCGGCGTTTGATGTATTTTTCTGAACCCAGAGCACAAGCAGTGCCATTATTTTAATTCTCAAACATTCTACCCTTACAAAATGTTACATGCTGAAAAAATATTTTCTATAATGTTTGACGTCTCCTGTTTGAATGCTCCGTCTAACATCTGTGATCTCTTTACTAAAGCTAATTCAGAGCACAAGTATGAGACAAGGTTTTCTTCGTCTGGAAATTATTATGTCCAAACTTCCGGACTGAATCAAAATCAAGGTTCTTCATCCAGTTCTGGGCTAAACTTTGGAACGCAATTCCCAACGAATTTCGTCAAAATCTGCAGGAACGACTAAAGGCACTAATAACTTATAGGTTCTTTAGTAAATTTGTCTTGTAGACCATTTTTGTAACTCTAGCTTGTTGTTGTTGTTGTTGTCTTTTTGTTGTAATTCTCATCTATTTGCATAGTTTATTTACTTTTCTTTAATATAATCTTCATAGCTTCTTTTAATTCGATACTTATATAACTTCTGTAACCTTTCTAAAGTATATATGTTTAAGATATATTTACGATGTTTTGATATATTAATTAAAGATTGCTATCGCGTGCATTTAATGCCTCTACAGCTTAAGTCAGCAATCAAATTTACTTGTAAAACTGAAATTAATTACCCTGAACGCCACAAATTTATCATGTCATTGTATATGTTTGCCTGTGTCAGCTTTGCTTCAATTTTAGAATAAAATGAAATGAAATTGAAACTCTAATCCGAGTAATCCCTTAGTAGGTTTGCTCACTGTCTTACTGTGCTTGGGACCCTTCCTGATGCGGTACCACGGCGCGGTTTCGTCTTCGAAAAACTCGTTTTTCCATGTTTTCAGCTCCCGCGCTGCTTTTTTGAAAGATAAGCTGAATAAACGCAACACGAAACTGTCTGATTCTTACACAATAAATAATTGGGTTAACCATCGAATTCAAAACTGCCGAAGTAAGGCCTGTAGAGAGAGCGATGTATTTTAAATCAACTGAAGTTGTTATAGAATTTGATGCTCGTATCAGATATGCGAACATTAAAGGCAAAAAACATAATATTAGAAAGAACAGTACCGTTGCTGTCACTTTAAAGGCTTTTTTCTCCTTCAAAAACTTCTCTCTGGCTTCCAAAGAGACTTGTTGGGTAGCTATTTGTTTTTCATGCCGACGTGTTTCGTAGAAAAGTACGACTTGACAAAAGAAAACTGTGGCTAGGCATAAAGATATTACATTAATGTCAGCTATAATGAAAATCTCGTTATTATCAACAAAAGGGAAAGGCACTGTTAAAGATATCACCATCACCCACAGAAGTGCAGACAAACATACAAGGCGATTCTTGGTGACGATAGTCTCGTAACTCAGGGGATGTTTGATGGCTATGAACCTCTCCACGTTGATCATGGCCAAGTGAGACAGCGACGCAAAACCCAACACCCTCAAAAGGATCGTTGATAAAAGTGTTCTTATACAGTACGTAGCAGACGTGCTTCCTTGCATTTGTGCGATCACCCAAAAGATGAAAGCAGGTTGACCGATCACTCCCATTGCCAAATCAGTAGTCGACAAACACGCGAGTGCAGTGTTTGTCTTGGTTTTCAATCGGTGTATAGTCTTAACCGCGAGTATGACCAGTGCATTCATCACAGCTGTGAATGGACAAGTAATGATGCTGATGACTGCAATAAAGATAAGCCATCCATAAGCTTCCGAACTAGTTTCATCAAGGGTTCCCTGCGAAATCGGTGGAACACATCCAAGAGGTATCCTCTTTGTGTATGGGACTGCAGTTGAATTCATATCTTCTTTTTGGCTTGCTTAGACAAAAATGTGTCTGTAGCTGGCTACGGCACGGACTTCTGTTGGTGTGACGATCAACGGCTTGCGGCTACCAACTACATTCCCGCACTTTTTGCTCGAAGGACTGCTCAAACTGTTTTTACCAAGTTGAACTTTAAATTATATAGTCTTTTAAGATAGTCAGTGAATTTGTCTCTGTATTGCAGCTGACAAATACTAATGTATATGCTTCATGATCAAAGGCACTCTATAACAGGCGGTCTTCTTGAAATTTTTTTTCATAAGGGCATCTTAAGCTAAAAGTCACCATCGTTGAATGCGAGCAAAGAACTAAATGGAATCACACAATTGAGAAATGTTGGTGATTATCCGACTTTCGCTAAATTTAACAGCAGCGTATCAGGAAATTGATCAATTAGCATATTGATTCAATTTAGATGAGCAACGAGGCATTTCGAGCAAATGACACAAATTTAACTCATTTAAATATGTCAACGGGAGATATCCTTAATACTTTGATGAATTTCCTTTAATTTTTGTTAAGTTCGATGAATGCGAGTGCGATAGATAACTATAGGCACACGATCAGCTCATCATCGTCATACAGCTAAAAAGTTAGCGATTTTTCTCAGTGTTAACTAAGCAAAGACTTTAATTTTCGTTTTACATTGGGACGCACGGTTCGATCATCTCAGGTGCTCTGATGAATGACCTAATTATATAACTAGGCGATTCAGTTCAGTACATCAGTCGCTAGATTTGCACAGCTTATACCTCTCAAAATTTTCCAACTGCTAAAGAGTTCAGAGGCAATAATTTTTCACCTTGATAATGCATTACTATAAATGACAATGTCACTTTAAGAATCTATTTTTTTTTCAGTTTGGTAAAAGAAGATGAAAATTCATGCCATTCATTATTATCTCGAATTTGACCATTCACTATTAAAACGGAAGAAAGCAACAATGGTTGCGCAGGAATAATGTTTTTTACATATTTTTATTTATTTATAATTTTTTAAGTGGCTATAATTGGATCCACAAAGTGAAATCTTTCTCTGAGCAAAGCTCCATTTTTTCCTTTTAATTTACAGCATTTATAGAGGATATTACATGGCCGCGCGGACATACGAAATTTCTCTTCGACTGTTGAAAAATATTTCACGAGTGAGCGCAGCGAACGAGTGAAATGTTTTCAACACGAGAAGAGAAATTTCGTATCTCCAAGCGGCCATGTACTGTTCTATTTATTATATAAACACCAATACCAAACCATTTCACTGAACAGTTTTTTCCTGCGAAAGGCGCGATTTATTATGTAGCCGTAGCAACGGTGATAATTTCACATGTGAAGATAAGATGTTATTTTCACGTGTGAAGGTAACATGTTTTCGCGGGAAAGCTCACCTGGTATTTCATTGGTGTTTATATAATAAATATCAATATTCGCGATAATTCGGCAAATGCAAGAGTAGATTTGGGGATATCTAGGCATTAATTTGTTCTTAAAAAAGTAATAGAAATATATTAAACAGCAGCAATACAAAACCAACTATAAAGCACTTCAAAAGAGGGTCTGAATAGGGGGATCCACTTGTCGGTTGTCGGTTAAAATTTAGTTTTTTTGTCGGTAGTCGGTTAAAATTTTCGATCTTTGACGGTTGTCGGTAAATCTCAGTTAATATGTAAAAATGCAAGTTAATTATTACTAGTTGTTATGTATTTCACCCAGTTTCAAGACTATGATCCCTAAAAAATGTATAAAACTTGTAAGAAGTGCATCGCTGAGTTTGTCAATATAGTAACGATAAAATCACCAAAGCTTTCACTGTAAACTGATGCGAACTTGGTTTCCCCGTTGATTGCCAGGACACAATAAAAAGTAACCAAGAGAGGTTGACTGGACACAGAGGAAAACGCCCACTCTAGCCTTTTGGATACATAAATTATTTTTGCAAAAACTGCAAGGAGTGACAGGCCGCACATCTATACCGGCGTGAAACCGTGTTGACCGTTAATATTTTGGCTCTAACGAGCATGGGGATTGCCCTTTAATGATTTTCCTTATTTGATGCAAAATGATAGATGGTTGTGTATAATTTGGCGAAGGTGGTTGGTTCCACCACGTTTTCATTAAAGTTTCTTTTATAGTAGACACTTAAGGCTGGTATTGTCACGAAAGGCAAAAGTTCTTTTTCTTCCTTGTTGTTTTGTTTCAGGAACGCGTCCTTCCTTTGAGTTTATTTCTGACAGCAGCTTTTCTTTCAATTTCTGTGGATAGCCTGTGTCCATTAAGCGTTTTTGAAATTGAAAGGCGTTTGTAAGGAAAATCCATTTTAACACTTAATGGGTGAAGGTTTCCGTTTGTTTAAAATTTGTGTCCACATCAAGGATAGCTTTTTGTTGAATCTTTTAGTGTGCCTATATATATACAACCGCGTCTAAAGACACAGTCTCAGGGTCATATATTTCAGCTTTGAATTTAATAGTAAGGTGCTGTAAATTTGCTCGCTCGAAGAAACTCGGCTGCAATGTCTGATTTATGTCCTGTCGTCTATTGTGGTTTCCAAACTGTTGGTTTAAAGACGGGTTTGCTTAGAATTCGTGTACCAATATATGCCATGAAAATGTTGGCAAACGAAACTGCTGTCTTTGTGCTCATCGCGGTACTGTGGGGAGGCGGTTTCCACTTAACTATAAAAAATGTTCTTTTAATGAGGATTAATCTATTAGCATTTCCAGCGGGTAATGTGTTAAGGAATAGGAGAGTTGCCTTAAATTTGCAGAAATTTATACCCTCTGCAAACTATTTAAATGCCCTCGTTTTGTGGTGTAGTTGCCAAGACTTGTGGCCGGTCAACCGAAACAAGAAATGTTCGATTTTCACCTTTTTTTCAAAAGTATAATTTATAAAGTCGGTAGTATCTTTAAGGTATGAATTCCGTGATTTTGATATTGATTGTAGTAACTGGTGTAAACATATCAACAAAGGAGGAAATTCTTTCCGTTGGACCATCTGATAAGTCATAAATTAATGTGGTTACTTCCTAAGCTAAAAAAAAATACAAAGCGCTCTTCTTTATGAAAACAAATGTCGATAATGTCAGTAGTCGGTTAACATTTTTCCTGTCGGTAGTCGGTAATTTTTTTTCTCGTTTTGTCGGTAGTCAGTTTAATATTTTTCGCTTTCGTCGCTAGTCGGTTAGGACGACAACTGAGCTTAAAGTATAAATTAACCTTAAGTTTGAGATTTTCTACTCTTTGGTAGATTTCGTTTTTCAGTGTTTTTAAGTTGTGTACTACTTTATATTGACAGAACGAAACTTCTTTTCATACTTTTTACACATTTATCACAGTTGAACTGATTCATAGGGCGGCAAGCCATATTAAGTGGCCAGTAAGTCCTGCAATAGATTTAAAAAAAAAATTATTTCAAATAATTTCAAATTTAACCCCTTTTGCCCACAAGCGGCTGCGTCCAATTTTGATCATTCCGACGAAAAATTTCCACTTATTGTCATCTCTATATATTAAGAGGCCGTCAAGCACTTCATACGCTTTAATTTATTTTCCAAGAATTAAAAAAATATGAGGAAGTTAGGAAAAGACAGTCCGAAGTAGAAGATGACGACTGTTTTTGTACAAGGAACTCTCTCCCTTGGTGTGTTTGTTTTAGCTAGCAAAGTGAAGTTTGGGCTAAAGACAAAGCTCCCTTTATGACGAACGTCTTTGGAGTGGCCGCCCTCTATAGAGCGTACTTTTGCCTGTACTTAAAGGGTTATTATTCCTTAGTCCTATTCAGACCGGGTTCGTAGCCACGCCCTCGCCTTCTCTTGTGACGTAAAAACCATTCATGATAAGGCCGCCAAAATTGCAATTAATAATGTAATAATCATGTCCAACATCTACAATAGGTATGATTCACACAATTGGATGCACAATAATGTGGGGTCATTAAAACATCATCTTGACGAGTTTATTAGCGGTACCCAAATCTCATCATTTTTTTACAGTAGCCGTAACGCTGAAAATTAGGTGTTGATAAAATAACAAAGTTAGCTTACACATTTAAAAATTTGAAAAAGATGCCCCGACTACTCTGAGTAAACTATATTAATTATGAGAGTAATTTAACAGTGAATCGTTTTCACAATGATTTATATAATACACGATGTTTGTTTTGATGCATGTTTATCGAAGATCGCTATCGAGACCATGCAATTATTCACAACTAGTGGCGATCAACTATACCTGTACAATTGAATTCTACTGAACACCGCAAATCTATCATTTGTTTGTATCTTCGCCTGCGTCAGCTTCACGTCAATTTTAGAAGGCAATGCATGAGTTAAATTCAACATCTAATTATTCCCTGGTACGTTTGCTCGCTGTTTTGCCATTCAAGGGGCCCCTTGTTTAATTTTCCAAAACCTCGTTTCTCGATGTTTTAAGCTTCCGTGCTGCTTTTTCTAAACAAAAGTTGAATAAACGCAACGCGAAACTGTCTAATTCGTACACAGTAAATGATCGGGTTGACCATAGAGTTGAAAATTGCCACTGTTCTGGCTGTAAATAGCGCTATGTATGCTAAATTGACCGAATTGATGACAGACTTTGATATTAGTATTCGTGCAACTACGAAAGGTAAATAACACAATATCAAGGAGAAAAGTATCATTGTTGTCAGTTTAAAAGCTTTTTTCTCTCTTAAGAATTTTTCTCTGGCTTCCATGGAGAATTGCCCGGCAGCGATTTCTTTTTGATGCCGACGTGTTTCATGGTAAAGCACAACTTGACAGAAGATAATAGTGGTTATGCAAAGAGACAAAGTAATGGTGTCAACCT